AACTTTAGAACGTTGTGGAAACGAAATATGAGAAGCCAACAACTTCATTTTCAGAATGGACTACCTCACAGAGAAATAATGCAAATTTGGATTCAAAAGCAATGAATGCATTATTTTGTGCACTTGACAAGAATGAGTTCAATAGAGTGTCAATCGCCACATCTGCATATGATATTTGGCATACACTTGAGGTAACTCATGAAGGTACAAATAAAGTTAAAGAATCTAAAATTTCTATTCTTGTACACAGATTCGAATTATTTAAGATGAAAGAAAACGAGACTATTGGAGAAATGTTCACAAGATTCATCGACATCACAAATTCTCTCATTGGTCTTGGAAAAACATATACACAAGTAGAGATGGTAAGAAAAATACTTCGATCACTTACTCCACAATGGGAAAAGAAAGTTACCGCAATCAAAGAAGCCAATGATTTATCAACTCTTTCGGTTGAAAATCTTATCGGAAACCTTATGGCGTATGAAGTTTAAATTGAAGATAGAAAGAATGATAAAGAATCAAAGAACAAGAAAGTACTTGTATTCAATACTACTTCCGATAAAGAAGATTCAGATGATGATGATGAAGAAATGAGCATGTTTACACGAAAATTTTGAAAATTTATAAAACGAGGTAATTTTAAATCTAAAAGTTCAATTTCAAATAACCCTCTTTGTTTTAAGTGTAATAAACCAGGTCATATGAAGAAAGATTGTCCTACGTTGAAGAATAAGCAAAAATCAAGTTATTTTAACAACTTTAACAACATTCAAAATAACAAGAAAAGGAAAACATTGGTAGTCACTTGGGATGATAGTGATGAGTCATCTTCTGATGAAGAAATTGAAGAAAATGAAAGTGCTCACATGTGTTTTATGACACAAGATGAAGTAAGTGACAATGAAGAACTTTTAAATGCTTTTAATGAATTATATGAAACTTTTTTGAGATTAAAGGCTTCACATAATTTTCTTAAAGGTAAAAATAAAAGATTATATGAATAAATTTCTGATTTTAATTTTTCTATTATTTCTAATTCTCAAGTAATTGAATTGAAAGAAGAAAATTATTCTTTGCTTAAAGAAAATAAATGTTTATCTAATGAAAATGTTTATTTAAAATCAGAATATAATGATTTAAATATTCGTATTAATAGTTTAGATAAAGATATTTCTTCTTTTAAATCAAAATATGAGGATATATGTTTGAATGTTAGCAAATTCAATAAAGGGAAACAAAATCTTAATAATATACTTTCTTTTCAAAAAGAATCACAAAAGACAAAAGGATTAGGTTTTCAATTTAATAAAAATAAATCGAAGAAAACAATTTTTGTAAAACCTTCTTGTGATTTGTATAAATATAGAAATGAAAAATTGTGTAAAAAGAAATCAAAATTCTTTTATATTTGGGTTCTAAAAGAATTAACTTCTTTACATAAGAATTTTTATATTTCTGATTTTATTAAAAATATTTGTTTATCAACTAACTATTTAGGCAAATCAAACTCTTCAAGGGTTTGATTTCCTAAAGGCTAATTTAATACACCCAACATAGTATGGGTACCAAAACTGTAAATGTTCATCATTTCAGGTACCCAAGAATGATAGATAGATTTTGGATAGTGGTTGCTCCAAACATATGACTAGAAACATACAATTATTATCATCTTTTCAAAACAGGGATGGTGGTACCGTTACTTTTGGAGATAACAACAAAGGAAAAGTCATCGGTATTGGATCTATCGGTAATCCAAACAAACCTATTATTGATAATGTTTTATTAGTTGATGGTCTTAAACATAATTTACTTAGATGTTTTATTAGTTGATGGTCTTAAACATAATTTACTTAGTATTAGTCAACTTTGTGATAAAGGTTATAAAATTGTTTTTAAAAAAGAATCTTACTTAATTTATGATATTTATTTAATTACTATTATTTTTAAAGGCCATAGAAAGAATAACATATATGTTTTATCTATGAAAAATATTTCAAATGAACATTGTCTTATTGCATTATCTAATGATTCTATTTTATGGCATAAACGTTTTGGACATGTTAACTTTAAACACATTTCTAAGATTTCTAAGAATGATTCAGTAAATGGTTTACCTAATATTTCTTTAAAAAATAATTTTTTTGATACATGTCAACAAGGAAAAATCCACAAATCTTCTTTCAAATCTAAAAATATAATATCTACAAGTAGACCATTAGAATTAATTCACATAGATCTTTTTGGTCTTTCTAGAGTAGCATCTTTAAATGGAAGTAGATATATATTTGTTCTTACTGATGATTATTCTAGATTTATATGGGTAATTTTTCTTGAACATAAAAATAATGCTTTTAATGAGTTTTCTATATTTTGCAGAAGAATTCAAAATCAAAAATCTACTTCTATTATCTCTATACGTAGTGATCATGGAGGTGAATTTGAAAATAAATTATTTACAAATTTTTGTGATAAACATGGTATATCACATACTTTTTATTTTCCTCGTGCTGCTCCATAAAATGGAGTTGTAGAAAGAAAAAATAGAATTTTACAAGAATGAGCTAGAACCATGTTATGTGATAGTAATTTACCAAAATATTTTTGGGCAGAAGCTGTATCAATAGCCTGTTATGTATTAAACAAAGTTTTATTAAGACCTATTTTAAAGAAAACCTCTTATGAATTATTTTATAATAAAATTCTTAAAGTATCTTACTTTAAAGTTTTTTGTTGTAAATGTTTTATTTTAAACACAAAGGATAACTTAGATAAATTTGATTCTAAATCTGATGAAGGAAATTTTGTTGGATATTCTAATCATAGTAAAGCTTATAGAATATATAATAAACGAACATTAGTTATTGAAGAATAAATGCATGTATCTTTTGATGAACTTTTTACAAAAACATCTAATGTTTTAGATAATGATGATGATTTAGTTGATTCTCAAAATGATTCTAAAATGTTAGATGTTTCAAATAATGATAATTTACAAAATATTTTACCAAAAGATTTTGTAGAAGTTAAAGATCATCCACATGACTTAATTATTGGTAATATATCTGACAAAGTAATTACTAGATCTCATTTTAATTTAATATCTCATACTGCTTTTATCTCATCCATTGAACCTAAAAATATAAAAGAAGCACTACTTGATGATTTTTGGATAATTCCTATGCAAGATGAACTTAATCAATTTACTAGAAATAATGTTTGGGATCTTATACCTAGACTCAATTTACTAGAAATAATGTTTGGGATCTTATACCTAGACCTCAAAATAAATCCATTATTGGAAAAAAATGGATTTTTAGAAACAAATTAGATGAAACTTATACCTAGACCTCAAAATAAATCCATTATTGGAAAAAAATGGATTTTTAGAAACAAATTAGATGAAATTGCTCAAGTTGTTAGAAATAAAGCTAGATTAGTTGCGCAAGGTTATAATCAAGAAGAATGTATTGATTATGATGAAACTTATGCACCTGTTGCTCGTTTAGAATCTATTAGGGCTCGTTTAGAATCTATTAGAATTCTTCTTGCATTTGCATGTTTTATGAATTTTAAATTATTTCAAATGGATGTTAAAAGTGCTTTTCTAAATGGTTTTATAAAAGAAGAAGTTTTTGTAAAACTTATTTCAAATGGATGTTAAAAGTGCTTTTCTAAATGGTTTTATAAAAGAAGAAGTTTTTATAGAACAATCTCCAGGATTTGAACATGAAAATTTTTCAAATCATGTTTTTAAACTTTAGAAAGCATTATATGGTCTTAAACAAGCACCTCGTGCTTGGTATGATAGATTACAGAATTTTCTTTTAACATTAGGATTTGATATTGGAAAAGTAGATTCAACTTTATTTATTAAGAAAATAAATAAAGATATTTTATTAATTCAAATATATGTAGATGATATTATTTTTAGTTTACTAATAACAATCTTTGTCAAGAGTTTGCTAAGACTATGCAATATGAATTTAAAATGAGTCACATGGGTGAACTCAATTTCTTCCTTGGACTTCAAATTAAACAATTTAAAGAAGAAATTTTCATCAATCAAAGCAAGTATGCAAAAGATTTACTTAAGCGCTTTGAAATGGAAAATACAACAAGCAACCCAACACCAATGAGTACTACTACATCACTTGACAAAGATGAAAATGGTAAGAATGTTGATCAAAAGCTTTATCGAGGTATGATTGGATCACTTCTTTACATTACTGCAAGTAGACCTGATATTATGTTTAGTGTATATTTATGTGTTAGATTTCAATCTAATCTTAAAGAATCTCATCTTAAAGCAGTGAAAAGAATTTTTAGATATCTTAAAGATACTACAAATTATGGATTGTTTTATCCAAAACATAGCACTTTTAATCTAATTTCATATAGTGATGCGGATTTTGCCAGATATAAATCCGATAGAAAAAGTACAAGTGGAACATGTCATTTCTTAGGACATTCACTTGTATCTTGGTTTAGTAAATAGCAAAATTCAGTATCATTATTAACGACTGAAGCAGAATATATTGTTGCAAGTCTTGCATGTGCTCAAGTTTTATGGATGAAACAAACATTATTAGATTTTGGCATAAATTATCCCATATCATCCATAATGTGTGACAATTCAAGTGCAATTAATTTATCTAAAAATCCTATTCAACATTCACGTACAAAACACATTGACATTAGACATCATTTCTTACGTGATCATGTGCTTAAAGGTGACATTTCGTTAGAATTTATACCCACTGATAAACAAAATTTAGATATACTAGTTGGATTGCACGTGCAATGCACGTGGTTTTTTTTTAAAAATTTATAATTGTATTTATAAAGTTTTGTTATAAAATCATGGAATGGAAGTAATGAAATAAGAACTTAAATGTTATTTACATGAGAGTAAATTAAGGCTACATAAAACATAGAATACCCAATTAGAATAACTGACAAAATAACTTTGTATATGATTGCACTTTTATTGCAAGTTATTGGGAAAAATTGTTCAATGCAAAATCTTGAATCATATTTGTCCGCAATCATCCAACATATGCCAACAATTTTCTATAATACAAATAAACAGCTTGTCAACATTTTCTGTAGTTAATCGCTACCATTTTTTTTCTGTTTTACAATCTTAGATTTTCCAAAAAAATTTAGTTTATAATTGGCAGATTCACCATCCTCCAGCTTAGTAGGACCCTCTCGCTTAATAGCTTTTGTTCCTTGATCACCCCTCTCTCCCTCTTATTTCCGTTAACTATTCTGCAAATAGCACAACAGCAACTTGTTGACCTGAGAGAAATGGTCCTCATAAGTTTACAAGAAATTTACACAACAGCAACTAAGAATTATCCCAAATTGTATTTATGTGAGATGTAATTCTTTTGATAAAAGCTTAACTACTATGTAACTACAAATCTCATGATAGTTTATAGAGTTTCAAGTAACTTTACCTGTACCGAATTAAGGTGCAATTTTCACATCAATAATACAGCAAAGATGTTTCATGTCTTGGAAACCTTGGTCATCGAGAGATGCCGGAGCCAATCGTTCAGATTAATTTGACTATGATGCACTGTTAATTTTTGATTATTTGTTGTAGATAAAATAGCCTCCACATTCGCAGGTTGAGAGTTGGTCTCTAGCCGCTGGAAGATGAATCTATATCACAATCACGGCCCAACAGTTTACCATTGCTTGGTTAAAATTAGCATAATATGGTCAATTAAGTAATGTACAGTCATTTGAAACCATGAGTTGGTCAAGATAAATGCATAAAGAAAATGGGTTCAATCCCATACAGTAATGTAGTGAGTGGAGCATGTCGACAAAATTTTTAAATTCTATAGCATGAAAAATAATAAAGGACCGAAATGATTTGTCATTTAACTTACAGAGCTATATATAAACGAATCAAAAACAAAACGAATTTTTGAATCGAGAACCAGTTTGTAAGAACCTTTGATTCTGCGAAAGAGGTCTAAGTCATGCTCGAAGCAAACAGTGCTCAGTACTCTGCTCCAACTGAACTTACAGGTATCATCTCTGTGCTTGTGTGTTACTTTTTCTCCCCTCCAGAGATTGGAGATATATAACATTACGTAAACCGATATTTGCAAAGTTTAGTTTCCATTTTGGTATATTGATTGGTGATTAATCCTAAATTTGTCATAGAAATACCAAGTAGATGACAATTAGTGTCGTGTCTGAATTTCAGCAAGATGCTAAAAACCAAGAACCATATACTTACTTCACTCGACATAGTTGCAAAATAAAATGTAATAAATTTTATGCACGTGCATAATATGTATTTATCTTAAGGGATTTGTAATCAAATTGTAGACGATATGGAATTAATTTTTGTGCTTTTACATAGTTGTCTCAAATCTTTACTCGGTGCAGGAGCTAGGATATTTAACCCTGCTTCTCTGTTTAGTGGCCCCTCATCAGCAGAAATTACTCAGAAGAATGTTGTATGATATCTGGAAGCTATCAGGACACATTAGACAGATTGTATGCATGGGAGAAGAAGTTATATGAAGAAGTAAAGGTGCAAATTTTACGTGCTAAATTATAATTACTGAGTTATTTATGATGGCAGTATCTTAGAAGGTTCTTACCAATGTTGAAAATAGCGATAACGCATAGCGTAACGCTTACCTCCGGTTAAGTTACAGTAGCGATAACGCATAGCGTAACGTAGGTTAAATAATTTATTGTTATTTAAATAATTTATAGATATATAACATTCAAAATAAAAAAAATATGAATAATCATCGCAATTCTCAATTTCACAAATCAATATATCATCACAATTTCACACCAAATCAACCATGTTTGCCTTAACAATCAATCCAAAAGCATAAAATACTTCAAGTTCGAAACCAAAAAGGATCCAATGATCCATAACCCTCTTTCTTGCGGACCTGGGCATGAGACGATCACCTTGCGCCTGAAAAACACCGATCACAGCCATTAATCAAAGTAATCAAATAACGTAGGTCTTCAAACGCTATGAAGAAACGCCATATATCGTACGCTATGGCCAAAATAGCGTAGGTTATTTGGTATTTGCGCTATTTCAAAACGCCACGTAACGTTATCCCACCGCTAGGTCACGTTAAACGCGATTTTACGCTACAAAACGCGTTTTTTTCAACATTGGTTCTTACATTTTGTGTACAGCGCGGAGAGCGTATTTGCATAGCATATGATAAGAAATGCATGCAGATTTGGAACCATGACTTGATGTGAAACATCAAAAACATACTATATATCTTGCATTAGATAATGAACTAAAGTTTAAGATTAAGAAAAATATCTTACAAAAACAAAATCACCTGTATATTGCTGCTTTCTGCAAGCTTAACAGGAGAATCATAATAGGACATACGCAACATATAGTCGTCAAAGATTCGTTTCTGCCTCTTCTCGTTCCACTCATTCAAATTATCTGCATTTTTCTATAGATAATCAGTTTTAAATATGAAACGAATTCCTGCCATATCTGTTGGTTTAGGGCTAAAAGAATCATAATGTTTTATTCCCGTTATGGTATAGCTGATTTCTCTTTCCTTTTTCTAAGCACCATGTTATGTTTCCTACGTATTGGCTCTTTTGATTCTGGGATTGAAGAATCTAAAATATAAGATGAAATTGATTTTTTCTATTGATAATTTCTATGAAGAATGAAATGGGCTTATTTTGATTTGTTAGATGAGAGCAAGCAGTGATTCGTACTTGCAACATTGTGTGGAGACAGTGCTTTTGTTGGCGAAGATTGGTGCTAATGTGACGGTTGTTGCTGCAGGACTTTTGCATGATACGCTTGATGATTCTTACATGGATTATGATTATATTCACAGTAGGTTTGGAGCTGGACTTGCTGAGCTTGTTAAAGTGGTCATTTTTTCTTCTTTAGATTTGCATCTCTGTTGTTTGGAATTTACCTGAGGAAACAGGAAAACATTTGTAGCACAATCAGAGAACATTAAGTTGAACACGAAATTGTTGTCTTAATGTAAAATAGAGCATATTTCAGCTACTAATCCAACAATTGATTTTAAGTTTTGGCTTGTAAACATCATTGTCTTAAGAGGATAATCTGCAAGCTCAGATATGCTTACTCCTTTGTTATCCTTGCAGTCATATACAATGATAACTGGAAAAAGTTCCACCGGTAAATGGTTTGCAAAGTAAGCAGCTTGTTCCACAGGTAGCAACAAACTGTAAGGTTTTTGGTATAATATTAAATTGCAATATTCTTTTACTGTTAAAAAGAAAAAGAAAAAGAAAAATAAAAAGAAAACAGGGAGGGAATTCGTATGATCATGTTAAAAATATATGACTAACAAAACATGATATACAAAAAACAACTCTAGTTATATCCATATTTTTATTTTTACCATAAGGAACCAAAAAGATATGCCCATACTTGACGGGATTCACCTTAAATAAATGATCATAGTAAATGAGAACATGAAGTAAAACACTTCGACATACTTTGTATTCGTATTTCTATTAATACTTTGTATTCGTATATATTAAATTATATTTAAATTATTTTTTCCTATTTCACTATTTATATTAACATGCTCACAAACATAGCAACAAATTATACATAACATTTCCGGTTGCAAATAGATTACTTTCGATATTATCACAGCACAACCTATAATTGAAATCCTTAAAGAACAATAATACATGGAACATGCATGGATTACAAAATACAATTCATTAATCCAGCAAGAACTGATTCAAATGCACTATACCAACCTGATCCCCTTTTTGTCCTTGTGAATTCTGATCCATTAAGAAAATTGCATGTATACATTCCTTCCCCTGAAATAGCAAAATTAGGTTTATGACAAAACAATCAGCAGCACAACAATAACAAAAGTCGCCATGGAACATGCATCTCCTATAGCATTATGACCTTCTGTATATTCAATTACATCCACATAGAGCGAATTATGTTTGAATAATATGAAAAAGAAGAAGGACTTATCAAAACAATTAACACTCAGAGTATTGACAAGACTTTAACCCAAATCAGACACCTCTGAACTATTATCATCATATTTAATTGGATAAAAGGTACTCAAGAAATGCCTAGAGATAGTAGATAACACTCAGAACTTACCCTCTTACAGGTATGGCTAATTTCTTTGCAGCAAGAGTGACATCAAGATAACGGGCAAGGCTTTCTTTAATGCTACAATTGATGTTTGATTTAGAAAAAGCTTCAGAAGCTGATGCAAATACTGCGACTTCCTTTGCTCCAGCTGCAATAGCAACCTCAAATCCCTGGACAAAATGACTCATAAATACCCATTTTGTACTGAAGTGTATAAACAAGCTCTTGAGTTCAGTTAGATAATTTAGCTTACTCTGAGATTTGGTGTTAGCACAGGGAACATCACACCCTCAATATGTTTAATTCCTTCCATCACATCCTTTCCATCTGCGAACTGTAGTTGGCACATCAAGATATCAGAACAAAAACAAACAGCTGGAAATGCACTCGAAACTAAGAAGTCTAATGGAGAAAATTATATATCAAGGGATAAGTATACAGAAAGATTGTAGACAATGAAGAAAGGCAATAATACAAATATATGGAGACGGATAAGCTTCAGAGAACAATGTCAACTTTGCAAAGAGTAGGGGGGAAAACAAGCACATAAGTGAATGATTCAATAGTTGAAAGCATGAGTAGAGAAGAGGACTCTTTGCTGCTTTATGAGCTATCACACTAAAACATCGTATTGTACTGAATTGAATTATTATATAAGAGAGAACAATGAAATAAAATAAAAAAAATTGTACCCTTTTTAAATAGAAAAAAGATTGTATGATAATATTACCTGTGGTACCCATTTCGAAGAGACGAAACTGGTGGCCTCAATAATAGATAATCCGGAAGAGGCCAACCTCTGTATTAGTTCAATTTTTACAGCTGTGGGTATAGTATTCTTTTCATTTTGTAATCCATCTCTTGGTCCAACTTCGACTATCTTTACAAATTTTGGCATAACCCTCAAGAACTGCAAGTTTGAAACATCTCATGCAGAATCAAGTACTTAGACAAAGTTAAAGAGAAAATCTAGAACAACTTAATTAGTGCTTAAAAAGTAAGAGACAACTTTAAAGCTGTTAATAAGATATTATCATACAATCATAACATACAGTGCATTAAGGAGATGGTAAAAAGAGGAGAATTCCCTTGGTCTTATTTGGCAGAAGAACAGATTCCAAAATAATTATGAAGCGCTCGATCAAGAAAATGAATAAAATTAATAGGTCAACTAAATCAGGACAGAAGCAATAGAATTATAGATGAGACATTGATAGAAAAGATTAAAATACTTTAGGCTAAGGAATTTTTTTTCTACATCATCACAAGCACCTTATTTGTTAGATCACTCTCCCTACCATTGCTTAATGAGTGGTAGTGACGAGTTTGATGACCTTGTAAATACCATGAATCAGAAACATTATCAAAGACCCTTCGACTCCTACAAAGGCTTGATCTCGTCCAAAGTAAAGAGTCTGAGCAGTATATATCCTTTGTTTTCCTTCCCCATGTATATTCTTCACTGAGAAGAGAAGCAAATTAGGCTCGATAAGTACATTTCAAATACCGCAATAGAATGAATGGTAAAATAATGCCTAAGAAAGAAAATAACCTGTGGTACTAAAAGAGTGATGAAAAGATAAGCATCTAATTCTCAAAAAGTAATGAAGGATAAGCACATGCAATATGAATCTTGAATTTAGTTTAAGAACAATTATTCCTTTATCTCTATCAAGAGAAGAAACTTCAACGAGGGCTTAGTTCTTTTAGTCATAGTGCTAATATAAATTCAAACCACACCAATTGTTCTGATCTTTTGGTAAACCTTGCAGTTGAGAAAATTAACTAACTGGAAAAAACTATCCAATTGATGGTGTTCATAAGGAGATACATTTGGAATCTTCTAAACCTAAGATTGAGAAATTGAAGAAAGCACCTTTCAGAGTTATGATGACAAATATCAGGATCTTGGTTTATGTAAATCTACACAGCAATGGTCATGCAAATATAACAAATTATATTGAGCTAACATTCAACATCAACTGCATAATTGGCAAATAATCTATCAGTTTACAATTGGAAAAATTCTGGAAGAAGAAAGTGAAACTTACGAGCAACTATTTGAAGAGCTGCATTGTCTACCTTCAATCAAACAATTACCCAATTCAGTTTCATATTCTCTGGGGCTCCAAGCGTTAGGACTAAACCTCTGGATCCAACCTACCCCACTTAAGCTTGGAAAATTGTTGAGACCTAGAGGCTCCTCTAAGCTCGACATCTGGAAATTGAAGTTCAAGAGGGATCTTTTAACTGCATTTGATAAGCAAGTAGTCCACCATTGACAAGCAGGAAAAACTTTCGGTGTCAGCATAATTTAAGTTTTTCAACAGCAGTGCATTAAAGTACTTATGCACCTCAAGGAATAGCAAGATACAAGAATCAAAGTACCTGATTACAGATGCAAGAGACTATGTTAGAAGTGAAAATCTCATCAACTTAATGTTTAAAAAGCAAAGTACAACAGCTGATCCACGCCAATCAATTACCATACCCAAGTCAAAAGCACAAACATCATCAACTTTTTCTATAAAATCATACATCTAGAATCACAAACATTATAAGCAACAGAACATGTCCAGGCCTTGGTTTCACATTGCTTCAATAAAAAAAAGGAACATAATCAAGTTTGATATTATTAATAACAGCCGATATCGCAATACCTAGAACAATAGTTTGTGAAAATGCATAATGACTAAAATTCTAGTCAGCAATGGGCCAAAGACTTACTGATTGCTACAACTTAATGTAGGATAACAATCAAGAACAAAGAAAGATTCTTACAGGATTTGTGAATTCATTCAACTCCTTTATAGATAAAATATTGGAATTTTCGTAAATAATATATTCATATCAAATCTGAACAAATAGTTAGATTAAAAATTGTATGGATTTCTGATCAAAACAGAATTGATATAGCAATTAATTCATGAACTCCTTTGCACAAATAAACTAAATAAATAGAATTTGTGGTTGCAAAAATAAAAGAGATCACAGGCAACTAAACTAAACTTACTTTATTGTTGCGATATAGCTGTTGTTTGTATTTTTAAACGCTTGTCGATTAAATCTGTAGAAAATCGGAAAATAGGGCAAAATTATTAGAATAAAATGAAGCGTACTGCTATCCCGAATCCCCAATTAAATCTAGGGTTTAGTACAAATACACAAGTTCTCAATCAAGCTAGCGTACTGCTATCACGAATCCCCAATTAAATCAGTTAATTTCCCAATTCGAACCAAAAAAAACCCTGTAAATTAAATTTAAAGGTTGAGAAATAAGAACTTGCCTGACCTCAGCGGACGGCGAGGGCTTGTTCGTCGCGGAGCAGCGTACAGTTCGAGAAGAAATGGAGGCTCCTTTCTTCGATTTTGGGGAGGAAGGTGGTATTTTGTGATTACGGATCGAATTAGGGTTAGGAAATGAGGAGAGAAGGAAGGAGATTTGAGGAGGAGATAAGGCATCCATGGCTGTTGAGTGAGTGGAATTTCGTGGGGCGCCGAGAAGAGTAACCGACGAACTCTTCGGCTTCAGCGGAGAGCAAGACGCTTAGGTAACGATGACCTCTTCGGATTCTGCGGAGAGGAAAGCGTTACCGAAGTGTAGATTAATGTTGATTACGCGTAGGAGGTCAAATTCTGGTATATTTAAAATAGTTCAGGGTTAATTTGGGGAGGATAAAGTTTTTTAGGAACTGGCTCTTTTAAAGGGTAGATAGATTAACAAAGCCTTTAAAAGAAGAAATTTATGTTAAATTAAGAAGTGAATTAGGTATATGTTCAATTGATGATTTAAATTAAAGTTCATTTGTATTCACAGGTTTTATAGTCGACTAATTTACATTATAGTCGACTACATGCACAAACATTGTATATAGGATTTTCTGTAAGTCAACTAATTTTTCTTGTAGTCGACTACTTTTCATTACAGTCAGAAAATAAACTTTCTGTCAACCAACCTGTAGTTGACTACTATTGTTTATAGTCGACTACTAACAACAATTTTACATATTATTGACTTTCAATCTTTTGGATTTTTTTAAAATCAAATCCACAACCCAATACTAGTTTAACTTACAAAAATTTAATCTCAACCATTCATTTGTCTGATCAAATCCTAGCCTTATATCTATTGTTTATCTAGATCAAATCCAAACCACATAATTTTTTTTCTTAACTAATCTTGACCATTCAAGTATTTGACAAGAATAACTCTTTAAAATCCCCAATTCACTTCCTCTTTCTTCCCCATAACCGATCACTCTTCTTCCCCATTTCAGAAATTCTGTTTCCTCATCTAGGGCATCTTAAAAACTCATCTTTCCCACTTATTTCTTCAACAACTTCCTTGATTCCAAGCTCTATTCAGGTCCTGTAGTCGACTACAATCAAGAATAGCCAACTACATCTAGGGTTTCATCATTTTGGGTAAGTTTTTCAATCCTTTCTTTGCTTCCAAGTTCATTTCGTGTTCTTCATCATGTCTAGAGCTAAGAAAGCTAAACAAACTCATTCTAATGTTAATGATAAAATTATTGTCTATTTAAAAAGTCCGGATTTACTTGAAGAATTCAATAAAATATCATCTTTCGAAATTCTTCCGGGTAGATTCGTCAAATTTGATGATTTCATACCATCAAATTTCAGTTCTTATTTTGAAAATGTGGGTCTTTTAGAATTATTTTCATCGGAAAATAGAAAACGTACATATCTGTTCTTGGTTCATTTGTTCTACACCAATATCACTCGTGTGGAAACAATTCGTGGACATGAAAAATTAAGTACACTTGTAAAAGGGATAGAAATTGAATTGACTATTAAGTCAATTGGAAAAAATTTTAACATTCCCTATAAAGGTTTAACTCTTAGTTCCATCAAAATGAATGATGAAAATCTATTGTCTAATCACATATTTCTTCCGGGTTATGGAAAACCATTGAACAATTCAAATAAACTCCGTCCAATTCCTCGTTTCATTGCTAGAATCCTAGCATATAACATGTTTCCAAAAACGGGGAGCTTTCATTTCCTTTCCATAGATTTAGCAAAAGCTCTTTATGCTATTATGGGAAATATTCAAGTAAATTGGGCTGCCGTTTATTATGAAATTCTGTTAGCAATACCAAAAGGATCTCTTCCTTATGGTGCTTTCTTAACAAAAGTCTTTGAAAAATTCAATGTCGATCTAGCTTCTGAAAAATCGGTTGTTCGAACTGTCGAATTTTTTGACTCCAATGCTCTTACAAGAATGAAGTTAACTAATTTTGAAATTCATGATCAAAATCCTCACAATGAGTCTCCACCTACTCAAGAACAACAACATGATATACCTCAATCATCTCATCAAGCCGAAACTTCATCTAGTCAACCACTACCACCATTTCCTTCAGAACCTTCATGTTTTTCAGATGTGCAGTACAACACACTATCTGCACGTATTCTTGAACTTGAAACTGGTCAAAGAGCTCTATATTCTTAGAATTCCTATATTATTAGTAATCAAGAAGAGCTAATCAAGAAGTTTGATGACTTGGACACAAAGATTAGCGCATACTTTCAAGGACATCAACCTCCTCTAGCACCTTAGAAGTCTATGCATGCATCATATTAGATTTGGATGTTTTAGTGTCTATGCATGCATCATATTAGATTTGGATGTTTTAGTGTTTAGTTTCAAAACAATTATGTTTTTTTTTTGTTAGTTATCTATGTTTAAGTATCAAAAATGTTTTAGTGTTTAGTTTCAAAACAATTATGTTTTTTTTTTGTTAGTTATCTATGTTTAAGTATCAAAAACTATGTAGTTGTGGGTTGATATTAAGACATATATAATGTGTTATGTTGCTACTATGTCAAGTATGTTGATTATGTGTTTACATTACTATGATGTTTTTTGGATAGTTAATATATGTGCTACATATTTTAAATAGATTATGGTGATGAACATTGTGAAACTTTTAATCTTTATGGCAAGTCTTTGTCTACCTATTTGGATGGGTGAAGTTATGGACTATGTTCATAATCTGGATGATTTGTTTGAAGTATTAGCTCATGTTGAAGAAATAATGTCATGTTTAGCATAAATGTTTATCTCTTTTTGTTGATAACAAAGGGGGAGAAATGATATAAATATTAGACTCATGTAATATTATAGACTCTAATATGAGTAAGTATGTTTATTTCATAATGTTTAAATTTGTTTATAAAATACTTACATATGCATAAATTGTTTGTTATCATCAAAAAGGAGGGAGAATGTTAAATATCAAGTCTCCATGATATTATTTTGATGATAATAATTTATACAATATGTGCTATACAATTGCACTACCATTTATATGCAACTTTCAATATCATTATGAAGTGAAGAAGATGAAGAACATATGAGATAATGTATTTTATTTTTTCTTTACTTAGAATTATTATACAAGCCTTGATCACTCACACACACACACATAAATATTAGAACACACTAACACAGGCTTAGTGTGTTGGTTAATTATAGAAATCCTGTCACGCCCCGCTTCCCAAAAGACCGGGGAATCGGGACGTGAACAAGCCCGCGACGTATTAGACTGAGGAGAGATAAGTGCTAGACCCCGTCTTCTCAATCTAATACGCTAAGCGTCTGGAAATAAGTACAATGCGAAGTCACAGGTCCCCGATCACAATCAGCAAGAATATAATAGACAAACTCAGAATAAAAAATATCATATCACAAATGAGATATCATCCAGACATAATAATACGGGTCAAACATACCCTTATACAAAACTATCTGAATGAAATACTGAAGAATATAAAATACACTGACCAAATGGAAATGGAAGGTAGCACAAGGAAAAATGAGGACCAATAACTAAGCTTCAGCTTCTTCTACTCTGTCTGCAGGGCACTCCTACTGAGAATATCCTGGCTCTGACGTATCTCCAAGATGGACCTGTACTTTCTCTAAGTCTGACGTACACCAGAGAAAACAGGTGTACGTCAGGGCGCATGGCGCACGGCAAGACCCCATGAGGACCAATAACTAAGCTTCAGCTTCTTCTACTCTGTCTGCAGGGCACTCCTACTGAGAATATCCTGGCTCTGACGTATCTCCAAGATGGACCTGTACTTTCTCTAAGTCTGACGTACACCAGAGAAAACAGGTGTACGTCAGGGCGCATGGCGCACGGCAAGACCCCCCCGAAAGAAAAGAACGAACGAAAACCCAATGCGAAAAACAATACTATAACCGAAATGACAAAAGAACGTGCAATTGGAAATCCAACCAAATCAATCAAGTAACAAGTCGGTCATGCAGCTAGTCATCAGAATAATCATCCAGGTAACCATGTCATACAAATAGATGGAATTAATACTTAAAAATCCACAACAAGAGACGTAGTACATCGAGCGAAATAATCCAAACAAGGAAACCCTCATGTATATACCATATGTCACGAATTGTAAATAATTAAATATTAATCCCAATCTATGTATGAACTACACGCAATCCGATCTCGGCCTGGTCCGAACTCAGGCAAAGCTCAGGTGACTACACAAATTCACTGACTAAAGTGACTACACGAATTCACTTTAGCCCAACAAACCAACCCCAGTGACTACACGAATTCACTGGCACGAGCCTGGAAGATACATCAACAGCCTTATCCGATCACATGAACATGGACTTCCCCATCCCAACTCTCTTGTATTTTCTAAGTCAAACATAATCCATATTAAAACTCGGGTTCACCACCTAAACTCAGTCAACACACTCACACATGTCACTAAGTCTGTTCATGACGCACAAGGCTACTAAATCATGAACTACTAGGGTTCTTAACACGTTAACAGATCATGAGTATAGAATGGCATGTTAAACATGATTAAATAGGTTTATGAAGCAGAAATGAAAACTATAATGAACATGAAATATATAAACAAATACTATAGCATGAATACATACATAAGGAACTTCATCACTACTAGAATATCCAAACTTCTCATACCAGTTATCTGTTCTTAAGTATTCTCTAATATAATAATACGGTAAAAGAAAACTAGAAACCGATGTTGTTTTGCACA